AAGTATTTGCACAAAATCATGCCAGTGTAGACTTAGCCATAAACTTTACTTATGGCCCAATATAACAAAGCATACTCTTAACTTTAAGCCTATATGATTCATCTTCCCATCAATTTTAGTAAAACTGTCCACATTCTTAATAAGCAGACATTCAAGCGTTTTGCTGAATAAGACCTCAGTTTTCAGACAAACAGATCTTTACTTTAGTTCTTTAGGCAGTTCCTGAATAGTATGCTTCAACCTGAGACTGAAGATAAAGACCATATACAGGCAGTCCCCGAGTTACGTACAAGATAGGGACTGTACGTTTGTTCTTAAGTTGAATCTGAATGTAAGTCGGAACTGGCGTCCAGATTCAGCCGCTGCTGGTCAGTTTCAGCAGCAGCTGACTTGGGGACGCCTGGGGCAGAGCAGCTGGGGGGCTGCCGGGTTGGTCCAGTAGCGCCCAGAGCGGCGCTACTGGAGCAACCCAGCAGTACCCCAGCTGCTCTGCCCCAGGCGTCCTGATTCAGCCGCTGCTGGTCAGTTTCAGCAGCAGCTGACTTGGGGACGCCTGGGGCAGAGCAGCTGGGGGGCTGCCGGGTTGGTCCAGTAGCGCCCAGAGCGGCGCTACTGGAGCAACCCAGCAGTACCCCAGCTGCTCTGCCCCAGGCGTCCTGATTCAGCCGCTGCTGGTCAGTTTCAGCAGCAGCTGACTTGGGGACGCCTGGGGCAGAGCAGCTGGGGGGCTGCCGGGTTGGTCCAGTAGCGCCCAGAGCGGCGCTACTGGAGCAACCCAGCAGTACCCCAGCTGCTCTGCCCCAGGCGTCCTGATTCAGCCGCTGCTGGTCAGTTTCAGCAGCAGCTGACTTGGGGACGCCTGGGGCAGAGCAGCTGGGGGGCTGCCGGGTTGGTCCAGTAGCGCCCAGAGCGGCACTGCGGGACCAACCGGCAGCGCCCCAGCTGCTCTACCACAGGCGTCCGGAGAAAAGCCTGGTCTGCTGGGAGGGGGCGGGGGCGTACTAGCTGCGCCATCCCTCCCCCAGCAGACCAGGGAGACGCGGGCGGCGGGCCGAGACGCAC